GGCTTTTTAACGTAAGAGATAGAAAACACAGTTACCTTGTGAAATAAAAAGAGATAAAACTCGTAAAGGTGGGAAATAATCGATAGAAACCTATAATTTACATTACATTGCATTACCACCATCGACAGTCTCACACCTTTAGACGTTAGACGTGGCTATTTGACTTCAGTCATAATTATACGGATACCCTCAAAAATATTTTATTTTAATAATTTCTGATGTTAGAATAAATACTTGAATAAATTAAGATATATTATAGTAAAAAACATTCATTAGTAGCGAGTTTAAATTATAAATCTTTAAATTTATTTAATAGTAAAAATAACTCAACTGAAATATTTGACTAAAATAAAGGTAGGTATGTTTTGTCTGAAAACATTTAATGTATGTGAAATTGGTGTAGTGGTTAGGGACGTTGTATATTGACGAGAAAATTGGGGTTCAATTCCACACCAAGGATAAAATTTTTGTTTTATCAATAAAAAAATAATAGAAAATATATGATACATATTAGGTAACAAATTTTCGAAAAACTCATTATTTACATTTTATTTTTATTCCAATGTTATAAAACGGAAATACAAAATGATTCAAATTCAATTCATACAGTTTTCACTTGTGAATGCAAAATAATCCTTTGAAGACTGTTTATATCAAATCCATCACTAAATTCTCAATGTTAATATCAATTCCTCTGTACAGATAATGATTTTCAAAACAATTGGACAACATTGGAATGGATGCACGCGAAGCGAAGCCTTTAAGCCATCAAATAATAACATATCGAGAAGTGTTTTTGCACGGTAAACAGAAACTTTTTATTGAAAAAACAATTCGTGAAAATGGTTTTAACGGTCGAGGAAAAAGTGCAAATTGTTGTCTGGCATGTGAATGGATTCTCAGACAACATGATTAGACAACAATTTGTAAATATGTTCCAAATAGGCCGGCTCCATCACCATCAACAATTCAATCTATTATACGTAATTTTTTAATTATGGATCCGTGTTCGCTCCAAGAGGAGTTCGTAGACGAAAGGAGGTAAATCCAGATTTGGAACTAGGAGACACTTTGATTTGTGCAAGTATTGAGCAAAATCCTACCCAATCAACATCTCGTCTCGGAGAACAATATGGAATTTCAAGATTTAGAGTTCGTAAAATTTTGAAAAGACATGGATACCGACCCTATAAACTTCATAAATCCAACGAACAATTCCCTGGGGATCAATATAGACGTTTAGAATTTTGTCAAACTGCAATGGAAATGTCACATCAAGATGAACATTTTTTAGAGAACGTCTTGTTGACCGATGAATGTACGTTTTCATTGCATGGCTGTCACAATTCAATGAATGCTCGGTATTGGTCCCGAGGAAATCCTCGTCAGATTTATGTTGCTCGTACCCAGCGTCTTTAAAAAGTAAATGTTTGGGGAGGCATAATGAGAATCATGTCATTGGTCCATTTTTTTATAGACGGTATGTTGACTGGGCGAAAATACTTGGAACTTCTGCAAAATTAAATTGTCCCAGCCCTTCGTAATTTACCAATTCCTTTCGATTCCATATGGTTTCAACACGATGGTTGTCCTGCACATAATTCTCGCATCGTCAGTGAATATCTCAGTGCGACTTTTCCTAATCGATTGATTAGTGGACACGGAGATATTTTTTGGCCTGCAAGATCACCTGATCTTGCACCTTGTGATTTTTTTATGTGGGGATATATCAAGTCCAAACTATATGGAATTGAAGACGATAGGCCTAATTCTATCAGACTGAGCTATCAGACTTTTATAATTCTTTAGTGACAGTTTGGGTTATTATTCTGCTGCTAATGAAGGTTTATTTGAACATATTGTAGTTTATTTACAATATTTTTTTATTTTTGTAAAATTTTTACTTATTTAAACATTCTTTTAATTTTGAAGAATTTTACTTTAGTTTCGAAAGTACGACAACACTATTTGTTCAATAAGATATTTATGTTTAACTTTAAACACTTTAAATACTAGTAGGTAACGACTGACATAAATGTTTAGTGATTCAAAGCAAAACGATCTCTGCATAATTTCAAATTATTAAAAAAAAAAAGAAAACCTCATGTAGGTTTTGAACTCTAATCATCTGCGTCGCAAAGTCGAATTCTTAGATACCACTAATCCACGAAGGATTGCTAATTATTCTGTGACAAGAGTGTATGAAACTCCTGAAATCATAGTAGAAATTATTCTTGGTTAATAATTTAAAACTTTAGAATAAGTAATCACTATTAATTAAATTATTTTATTCACATTTTTGCTTTATTGTGGTCAACCAGTTTTTACTTCATCTAAATTAAAAAATGGAAATACGTCACACATACGACGTCAAACTGTCAAACATAATAATTATGACCGAGGTGATTTAGATCGAAGGTAACGTCTAAAGGTGTGAGACTATCGATAGTCGTAATGTAATGTAATGTAAATTATAGGTTTCTATCGATTATTTCCCACCTCTACGAGTTTCATCTCCTTTTATTTCACAAGGTAACTGTGTTTTCTATCTCTTACGTTAAAAAGCCGGGTGATATGGCACTCACCACTGTATAATGGGCTATGCTTAATTCTTATGTTTTTATATTTCATATATCGTGTGACTAATGTTGAGTATGATAGATGAGATCCTGAAATTAATGGACGGGAGAAGAAACGCCAAAAATGACCCAGACAAATATAAAACTATAAATATATTAATAAGAATGAAAATCAGAGAAGCGAAAGAAAAAGAAGCAAGGGAAATATGCGAAGAAGTTAAGACTTTGCAATCAAAATACGATAGTCACAATGTACATAGGAAAGCCAAAGAACTTACAGGGGTACCAAGACGAAGGCAAAAAGGAAATATAGCTGATTCTGATGGAAACATCATCTTGGCCAAACAGAGTAAAATAAGAACGTGGAAAGAATATCTAGAAAAACTATTTGAAGACCAAAGAGATAACACCTTTAAGCTAGAAAAAGAGGTAAATGATGGGCCAAAAATATTACAGCAGGAAGTTTATTCCGCAATAACACAGTTAAAGGATGGCAAAGCGGCAGGCCCTGATAATATACAAGCAGAACTACTCAAACTAATGCACAACGAATCAATAGCAATAATCGCAAATATGTTTAACAAAATATACAACTCTGGAGAAAAAATGCAAAGATTATCGTACTATAAGCCTCATAAGTCAGCACCTAAAATTATCCCTAAAGATAATTCATAAGAGAATCTACAAGCTGTGTGAAAGTCAAATTTCCCTTAACCAGTTCTGGTTCACAAATGCTGTTGGTACTAGAGAGGCTTTGTTCTCAATACAAGTCTCATTCCAGAGATGCGGAGACTTCAACTGCGACGTATACGCATGTCTGGTTAATTACGAGAAAGTGTTTGCTCGAGTACAGCATGCCAAGATGATGCAAATACTAAAAGAAGTAGGAATTAACCACCAAGATATGAAAATAATTAGAAATTTTTACTGGAATCAGACAGCAAATCTCAGAGTTGAAGGTAAATACACTGACTATGTGATAATCATGCATGGAGTGAGGTAAGGCTGTATTTTGTTTCTTCTAATCTTAAATCTGTACTCTGAAAGAACATTTATCGAAGCTTTGCACGAAACTAAAAAAGGTAGTCTACTAAATGGTTACTGACTAAACAACATTATATATGCAGATGACACCATAGTATTTGCGGACAACTTAGAAGACCTTCAAGTTCTTATGAACAAAATTACTTATTACGGTCAATAATATGGACTCAATATAAACCTTAAGAAGACAAAGCTTATAATAATAAGCAAGAAAAGAATAACAGAAAGTCAACTCTACGTCAACCAATCCCCTGTAGAAAGAGTGACACACTACAACTACCTCGGCACTATAATAAATGAAGAATGGACCAACAACCATGAGATTAGAGCACGCAACGGAAAATCTAGATCCACCTTTAATTGAATGGGGGCCTCCTTTAAGGGTCACAACCTCTCTCTTGATAAAAAAGTAAGAATGCTGAGATGCAACGTCTTCTCTGTCCTTTTTTATGGTATTGAATTGTGGACCTTGAAGGAAGATATGTGCATAAAACTGGAAGCATTTGAGATGTGACCGAGTCACAAATATGAGGCGGTCCTCAGAAGAATGAATAAGATTCGAGAGGTACTAACCACAATCAAATCTCGAAAATTAGAATTTTTCTTATAGACATATTATGCGAAATTAATCCAGATATGCTCTTCTTCAAGCCATCCTGCAAGCAAAAATATTGGGAAAACGAGGTCCAAGAAGAAGAAGAACATCTTGGTTAAAGAACCTCAGAATCTGGTTTAATAAAACATCTGTGCAGCTTTTCCGCGCTGCTGCAGATAAGATAAAAATTGAGATGATGATCGTTCGTAACTGATAGGCACATCAAGAAGAAGAATCTTGAGGTCTTTCGCAGAATATGTCCATAGAGAATGTCCTTCTCTATATAACATACTTATTGTCTCTTATATTTTCAAAGTATGTCTAAGTGATTTTATAACTCGATAGTAATTAATAAATTATTTTGTGTACTTATAAACAAATATGCTGCTTCTAATTTAAGTGCCATGTGTTACAATTTCATACTTTTATTAAATAAAACTGTTCGCCCTGATTATTCGTTCCATTTATATTTGTCGATTCATTTTTTACATCTGTTTTTTATAACTAGCCTTCTTATTTTAGTGATTGACTTTTTCTAATGTTGGTACGCAAATAATGAACATGTCACGTGTTTTAATTTTTCTATCCTTACGACTACTCACCTTAATAACAATACTCTTTTAAATAAACATCATTAGTTGCTGTAAATTAAAAGAATTTTTTGGTTTTAGAAATTTTGATTTATTCTAATTATTTCTGCTTGTGCTCTATGCTTTGTAGATATTATATTTACTGCAAATTTCAGACATGCTAAACTTAACTTGGGTATTATTCTATTTTAGGTAATAAAGTGACTCAAGTGCTTGGATCTGAAGCAGCTCTGTGGACAGAACAGGCTGACTCCTCATCAATAGATACAAGGTTATGGCCAAGAGCGGCAGCAATGGCCGAAGTACTGTGGTCTAATCCTGCAACTGGTTGGAAAGAAGCCGAGCATCGAATGTTAGTACACAGAGAAAGACTTGTCTCCCTTGGAATAAATTCTGATGCCATCGAGCCTGAGTGGTGTCTTCAGAACCAAGAACAATGTAGAATAGGTGCGGCGTTTAATAATCCAAAAATTGAACTATAACTTGTGATCACGTATTATTAATTAAATATGTTAAAGATTACTGTTACTTAAATATAATTTTCTTTTCCATATCTCAAAAAGACTTTATTGCTTACACAAAAAAGTGTTATAATAGTATTAAATGAGGAAACCAGTTAGTTGTTTGTTGGAAGGAATACCTTTTGTTAATCAATTGATGATTGTCATTTAATATTAAAACTATTTAGTTATAATTAGTATCCCTACCAGAATTGTCTTCTAATTACATTACACAAATTAAGTGAAATAAAGACATGATTTTTAAACTATTTTTCTATGGCTGTTTTTATGGTATCTGACTTAAGCTGATTACTTGTGAGGATGTACTTAATCTTCAAATCTTAAGGATATCCAAACAGTTTATAAAAGGATGCAAAACATATGATTGGTTGATATATCCGTAATGATGATATGTATGGAGGTTTAGATATTCCGATAATTAAAAATGAGATTCAAAGACTAGCTGGCTTTCACTTAGCCAGTTTGTAATAATATGCTAATTTCATTACGATTTCACGGGTTATAATTAACTCACGGTTAAAGATAAACTTTGAGGAAACTAAACTTATAACAAATCTCGTAATGAGTGGAAATATAACTATTGACAATAATACCATACAACAAACAGACACTTAAAAATAAGCAGAGACAATCAAACACATGAAATACAGAGGCGAATAGGCCTAACATGGGCAGCATTTGGCAAATTAAGCCATATTCTAAAGAACTCAATCTCCATGTGTCTCAAGCGAAAGGTTTATAACCAATGTGCTTTGACTGTACAACCGACTAGATGGACCGATTATATAAAACGTGTAGCGGGAAACTTGCTACAAGCGGCCCATTGTAGGGAACACTGGAAAGAACTGAGAAAGGCCTATGTTCAGCAGTGGACGCGATTGGCTAAATGATGATGATGAACTTCAACGATATCAATATTTTCTAAAAATTACGTAATCTGTACAAGGTGTATTTTTTCTACTAACTAAATTAGTTTTTAAATTCACTATTTTAACTAGGCTAGTAGAGGTGCATCAATATTTCCGTCCAGCGAAATCTTACACTGCTACCTTTAATAACAAATCTTGAGACAATTGCCATAACTACATAGTGCCCTAATAAACTTCATATATATATATATATATATATACATATATATATATATATATATATATATATATATATATATATATATATATATATATATATATATATATATATATATATATATATATATATATATATATATATATATATATATATAGGGTAGGGTGGGGCAAGTGCGTACCCGGGGTAAGTGCGTTTGGACTAAATAAGAATATTTGTAACGTTAAGTTACAGTATGAAACCGATTTCAAATTTAGCGACAAGTATTAAACGAAACAGCTACACATATGAGTGGCAACGTCGTTGAATGACATAGTATCACACGTGTGTGTTAGTAGTTACGTTTGAGGTTATACAAAAAACAGGTAAGTGTTTATTCTAAGTCTTGTTAATCTCGTACCGTTTACTAGATTTTAATTTTTATTGAATATTTTCGATTAACAATGCAGATAATTGAATTGTTTTGATACCATTTATGATTTTTCGCTATAGTTTGCTAGTAATTCAAAGGTGCGCACTTGCCCCAGAGATTTATCACATGGGGCAAGTGCGTTTTTTGTGTGGGGGAAAGTGCGTCCTTACCTTAACACACTTGCCCCGGCATAAAATCTGAATAAAATTTTTTAATTCTTAGGTAGAGATGGTCCGAAATTACGTCCGAAAGACGGAGAGAGGTTCGCAATATACAGCAGAAGTGCTTAATAATGCCTTAACGGATATAAGAAATCAGAATTTCACTGTCAAGGGAGCATCGCGCGCATACAATATTCCTGTGACAACTTTACAGGATCACTTGAGTGGAAGAAGAGGCGCGAAGGTATCAGGACAAGGTCGACCTACCGCCATTCCATTGGCAGAAGAAAGGCGACTGGCAGAAGGTCTTCGCACGATGGAGCAATGGGGATTCGGTTTGTCCCGTAAAGAAGTTTTCGAATACCCAACAATTCGTCCAATCAAGCAATTTGAAAACTCAATTTAAAGATGGTAGACCAGGTGAAGACTGGTTCTTAAATTTTAAAAGAAGACATCGGCTGTCAATAAAGAAACCGGAAATAGTTGAGTTCGCAAGAAAGAAAGCCATGAATCCTTTTTTTTTGTTAAAGATTATTTTAAATTATTGAGCGAAACCATTCAATCTTTGGGGCTTGCTGACAAACCTGAGAGAATCTACAATATAGATGAAACTGGATTTTCGAGTGACCCCTCTAAAACAAAAGTTGTTGGGAAGCAAGGAGCACAATGCACAAGAACCACCAGTGGACCGGGAAGAGTGAACACTACAGTGGTGATGGCAGCAAGCGCTACTGGCGAAAAAATTCCTCTATTAATTGTTTTTAAAGGTAAAAATATCTGGGATGAATGGATGGCCGACGAACATGATGCCTTCCCTGGTACTGCCTATGCCGCTACTAAAAACGGCTGGATTGAAACTATTGTAATTCGAAACTATTTTGAGCGTACTTTTGTAAAAAATATTGGTTCTGATCGGCCTATACTAGTTATCTACGACGGACATTTAACGCACCTCACGGCAGATTTGGTCAATTACGCGAGATCGGAAGGAATCACAATCCTCAAACTACCGGCTCACACAAGTCACATTCTCCAGCCATTGGATTTAGCGGTGTTCAAAGCTTTAAAATCAATGTGAAACGAAGAACTCGTAAAGTGGCAGCGACAGTTTGCTGGTCGGAGACTTCCCAAAAAAGTTTTTTCTAAGCTGATTGGAAAAATATGGACAACAATTAACCCAGAAGTTATCAAAAATGGATTTAAAAAAGGAGGTATCTTTCCATTTTTGATGATAAAGTTGTACCCGAACATCGTTACGAGGCTTCTTCTTTAAGGCGATGGCAGATTTTAGCGGAAGTCAGAAATCAGCGCCAAGAGACTTCGACAGATGTGACAGATGTTGCCACCTTTGAGACAAACTCGTGAGTATCTTACTTCAACAATATGGATATTGTAGGATTTTAGCGAGCTACTCTCGTAACATCTTCTACTACAAACCGTAAAAAGCGGAGCACCAACTCCAGCAAAAAAGAAGAAGCGAATTACAGCAGGTAGTGAAGTGATCACTGCCGGACCCAGCAAAGGCACCTTCCAAGACTCAAGTGATGAAGATCAGGACGATTAGATCTCTCTACACGATCTACTAATTTAGCAGAAGAATGAGTTCTTTTAATCCTAAAATCACTATCAAAAACTTTAAATTACTGGTGGTTGATAATTGTGAAATATTAGGGCTGCAAGAGTAACCTGGAAACAACACATACAGGAACTTAGAGGAGTTTGCCTAAAAAGGTTAAATATAATCAAAACACTATCATTATCATTGGAGCGTGAAAGAAACTACGTTACTGAATGATCACTAATCCGCTCCAAGCTTGACTATGGATGTTTCGTCTATATGTCTGGAACTAAATTAATCTTAAAGTCACTAAATACAATATACAACACGGCTATATGTCTTAGAGCACTTCGTTCTAGTTCGGCAGAAAGTCTTTATTCTGAAGTTAATGAACCTCCTCTATGGGTTAGGCAAGAAAACCTTCTTTTTTCTCATGCTACTGTAATTTTTTCCAATCTAGTATATCATTTAATTACATTATCAGACTATCCTCATAATAACCCTCTATGGGTTATTAGAGGATATGATGGGGTTACTAAAAGATATAAATTTGTCTGGAACCAAAACTCCACCATTTTCCATTAATCCCTATTGGACAAAATTCAACAAGGAATATACCAGTATTCGTACATTAAGAATTCTCTTTCTAGAACTTATAAACAAAATAAATATAACATAGTTGTTTACACTGACGCGCCAGACTAAAAGTGGTGTTGGATATTCTGTAACCACTGTACAAAAGTCTATCGAACTCTCTAAAATTTCTCCTTGGTGTAGTATCCACACTGGTGAACTACTAGCTATCTAACATGCTTTTAAATCTGCCCAAAAATATCCAAATACACACATAGCCATATGCTCTAATTTAGTTTCCTCTATACACTCTATTAATGCTATATCGACCAACCATCCTATCGTCCAAGATATTCATGACACGTATCAGCTTCTTGTATACCAAAATACAACTGTCACTCTAATATGGGTACTATTTCATATTGGTATTAGTAGTAATGAAAAAGCTGAATGCCTTGTCAATAAGCCGCATTATCTTGCCAGACACCACTATGAATATACAAATTTACAACGATCTCAAAGCTAGGCTGAAAAAGCTTAATCTATCTACCTGGCAGATTCACTGGAATAAAGTTACTTCAGCGCTGCATCAATGTCTACATGATGATATCATCTTCACAACCAAAATGTCAGTAGTTCAATACGACTCTCCGAATCAGACATATACTTATCGAATGTCATTTTTATGCCAAAAAATTCGCCAACAGCTCGATATCAGTACTATCTTCAAAGAGGTCCTAAACAGCACAGACCAAATCAACAAGGTTACCAAATTCCTCAAGAAAAGTCAACTGATCAATAAAATATAAATGTTATGTTACATGTTTTTATTATTTTCTCCTTATGTTAAATGTTAACTATATTATTTTGTAATTTATAATGATAGTACCATGTAAATCGTAACTCGTGCTAATGACCATAGATGTCACAAGCACATATAAACTAATAGAGAGAAACCGGTCCGGTAGGTGATCCTGTATTTAACAACACTAGTTTTATGTTATTAATTGCTTCTAATAATCTTCGTCCATTTTTATCTATTTTTTGGGATCCCCATGCGATGTTGTGTCACACAAAATTAATTTTGGAGATGGAATTTGTTTAATTACATTTTGAAGTTCAAATAGAGTAGCTTCGTCAGGATGTGGTAAATATACGTTGCATATATTGATTTTAAAATGATGTATTACCGAAACTGTTACTGCTTTCAGATTCGTTTTTAACGGAATTTCTTTGGATTGGATGG